TATATATATATGTCTTATTCCCTCTATTTATAAAGGATTTCACTTGCATATACTCATGAGGGTGTAAAAAAAAGTCATATTTCAGTGTAACTTAATTAATTATAGCAAAATTGAATCATTATGTCGTTAAAATAAATAGTATAACAACTTTGGTACAGATGATTACAGATGAGTAATCATCTGTAAAACTACCTCTAGTTTTCCCGGTGACAGTCGTTTAAGAATATAAAAGTTCTATTTAGGGTCGGTATGCATGATATATTGATAAATTTGTTCCTATTTAATTGTCATGTTTGCTTAAATAGCCAAAGTACTTGTCATTTTAGAAAACAAAAAACTTATTAATTTTTCAATTTTATCTTTAGCATTAATAAGAGCCGAGGGTCTATCGGAAACAGCCTCTCTGCCCCTATCGGGGCAGGGCTAAGGTCTGCGTACACATTACCCTCCCCAGACTGGGTAGTTGTTGTTGTTGTTATATCTTTAGCATTAATAAAGTGCAGATTTATTAAGAGAGATTTGTAAAAGATCAAAGAATAAATAAGGGTAAATTAGTTACTTGACTCTTATTATTAATGTTTTCTTAAAGGATATGTATAAACTAACATAACAAGTAAATAAAAACCGGGGAGTAATTATCATATTATTGGATTATTGTGTATGATCAAACTTTCAGTTTCATCGATTTATAATTCAAAAGTAGTAGTCTTGATTAAGAAATTGTTACAGTTTGAATATTTTTATGAATTTTCTGACTTTGTTCTGAACAGTCTTGCCCCATTTCACAGCCCACCCCATTTTTAGTTCACTATTGTATTTATATATTGGAAGTTTTTTTCTCGGGTTCAAATTCGACATTTGTGTTCGAGTTTGAATTTGAATTTGGATTTTAATATAGAGATTATCTGGAAACGTAAATTCTTCATCACTCCTTTAGACTAATTATAAGAAAATTTGTCTTATAATTATGGAGCGAAATTGTATAAATGGAAAAATATTGTATTATCATTCCAGAGTATTATACTACCATAGTTTAAGCATGTCTGTGTACTTTGTATAATCACATATGTAAAATTAACAACAAAGGTTGTGGTTCAAGTTAGAGGATTCCTTAATTGTTGAAATGACATGTGTAGAGATGAAAATTTAAGCATGTCTGTGTACTTTCTATAATCACATACGCAAATTAACCGACAAAAAGGTTGTGGTAAAGTAGTAAGCACTCCCTCGTTCTTATCATTGTTATTTGTTAGAAAACGCTTTACCCCAAAGTAAAACTTTTCGGCGCAAATCTAAATTTAGTCGGGTCTCAACTATAGGTGTTTAACGGGTGGGCCGAGCCGGGTTGAGAAAAAGGTGACCGGCCGATTTCCAATCCGGGCCGGTTACCGGTTTTCTCAAACTGGGCTTAACGGGTCCATTCGGGTAAAAAATAAACCGGAAGGGTTACGGGTCCAAGGGGTCAGGCTGGGCCGGGTTAGTGTTATTTTTTTATTTATTTTTTGTATTTTGTATAACTATCGTAATTTATATTTGTGACGACCCGACCCGTCGTCTCATGAGTTATCGCCCCGTTTTCCCCATTCCTGCTTCTTTATGCTTCGTTATCCATGTTTTATGTGGTTGAGTTGATTGGGTTGAGTTCGGAGTGAATTGGTAAGAAATGAGACACTTAGTCTCTTTAAGGAAGGCTTAGTTTGGAAAAGTCAACCGGATGTTGACTTATGCGTCAGAGGGCTCGGATGTGATTTCTGATTATTCGGTTAGCTTCGGAGGATGATTTGTGACTTAGGAGTGTGATCGGAAATGGTTTTGGAGGTCCGGTGTAGAATTAGGCTTGAATTGGCGAAGTTAGTATTTTGGCGATTTCCGGTTGATATGTGAGATTTTGATCCGAGGCTCGGAATGGAATTCCGAGAGTTTCTCTAGCTTCGTTGTGTGATTTGGGATGTGTGTGTAAAATTTCAGGTCATTCGGAGGTGATTTGGTTGGGTTTTTGATCAAAAGCGTGTTTCGGAAGTTTTTAGAAAACTTAGGCTTGAATTCGATGTGAATTGATGGATTTGGTGTTGTTTGAGGTGTTTTGATGGTTGGAACAAGTTTGAATGAGGTTTAGGATGTGTCGGTACTTTTGGTTGAGGTCCCGGGGGCCTTGGGTGAGTTTCGGATGGTCAATCGGACCATTTTTGGCTTTAAGGAGTTGCAGATTTTCATTTCAGGTGTTGCAGAGATTTTTCTCTTCGCGTTCGCGTAAAGGACCACGCGTTCGCGAAGAAGGAATTTGGAAGGCAGGAATTTAAGCCTTCGCGTTCGCGTCATAGGCTCGCGTTCGCGGAAGGCTAAGGGGGTTGAGCTTCGCGTTCGCATCAGCCCGTTCGCGTTCGCGTATAAGGGCTAGGGGTCCAGTGGAAGATTGTTCTTCGCGTTCGCGGTTGTGTGCTCGCGTTCGCGTAGGTCTGGGGATTTAAAGCATCGCGTGTGCAGGACCCTATCAAATTCGCGTAGGGTTATTTTTGAGGAATTTAAAAAGTGTGCTTCGCGTTCGCGAGACTGAGGTCGCGAACGCGATGAAGGATTACTGGAGCTGGGCAGAAGGGTTTTAAATATTTTATTCCGCGAGCTTAAGTTATTTTTCCTCCATTGTTGAACATTTTGAGAGCTCTTTGGGAGAAATTGAAGAGGGATTCGAAGAGGATTGATTGGAGGTAAGTTTTATGAACCAAAAACGTCATTATATTGTGAAATTAACCTAGAAATTCAAGGAATTTAGCTAAATAGGAGAGAACTAGGGCTTGGGATTTTGAAATTTTAAATGGGGATTTGAAGGGCTATTTGAGGTCGGATTTGAGAGTTTTTGATATGTATGGACTCGTGGCGAGATAAGGAACCCCTTGATATGAAAATTTCTGAGTTTCGAGAAGTGGGCCCGGGGCTCGGGTTTTGCTAATTTCGAGATTTTTGATATTTTCCGATTGTTTTCGCTTGTGTTTTGTTTCCATAGCCTATTGTGACATATTCGCTCTGGTTTTGGTCAGATTCGACGCGCGAGGAGGTCGATTTGAGAGGCAAGGGCGTAGCGAGCTAGAGCTTTGGCCGGTTTGAGGTGAGTAATGATTGTAAATGATGTCCTGAGGGTTTGAAACCCCGGATTTGCACAACGTAGTGCTATGTTGAGGTGAGACACACGCTATATGATGAGCGTGGGGTCCATTACTACTGG